AAGCCGTAGTTAATGTCGTATGGAGAGCGTGCGGGTATTAGGTTTACTTTCACCTCCATAGAGCTTGAACTTCTGGTTTCTGAACTTTGATGTTTGTATTGATGAAAATGTGTGAGCTATGATGGAATACCGAAACCTCATAATTCTGTACTCGTTTAAATTTATTCAGGTCTTTCATTTTACAAGAGGCCGTCAGATTTTGCATTGCTCGCTAGCCTTGGTGTTTGGTTCAATTTATTATTGACTTGGTGTTTGGAGAGAGAGAGAGAGAGAGAGAGAGAGAGAGAGAGAGAGATCCGTAAGCCTTGGTATTTGGTTCAATGTATAATTGACTTGGTGTTTGGGGGGAGAGAGAGAGAGAGAGAGAGAGAGAGAGATCTGTATGACATATCTGACCCTTGGAGGTTGACGGAATTACCAGAAGGGCAGGCCATTTTTATTGATAATTACAGGTCGTGTTTTTCAAAGATGCATGATGTATCTGGCGCAGATGACACTAGCTTATTGCAAGTGGCATGGAATTGGTTGTACCGTCCAGGTTTATGCTTTAACATATGCATCAGCCATGTGAAGGGTGCTGTCACTCTGCTGGGCGTGTCTGCCACTTGTTTCTCTGTCGTGATGGTTAAATTGACCGACACGTGGCGATGCCTTTGGCACGTAGTTTGTAGTGTAGTCGGGTCCAACCGTTTCGTTACTTCATTTTATTTGTCTTTCTCGTCACGTGAGCTATGTCATTCTTTCATTACTTTCCTTTCCGTTATTTCTCTCATCACGTTAGTTTTTCACTGTTTGATTACCTCCCTCTCTTTGTTGTAACTGATTCATTACCTTTCTCTCCTCCCTCTCGTCATGCGACCATTCACATGATTAGAGATATTGAGGAGATAATGAGACGGTTACACACAAGATTTTGCTCGGCTCTTCAGCCCCAAAACGTGCCCCTGACGCTGGACCCTCAGCCTGCCTCATGCATCAGCTGCAAAGAAATAGACAAATCCATAGGGTACCGGGGAAGGGAGGGTCCTTATTGCATGGGCAGCTGTGATTGTTCTCGTTCTCTCATTTGCTAAAGGACGTGGAAGCAAAAGCATGGCAGAACAGAAGCATCACTGCAGCACCTTGCTCCTGTGCTCACAAGGGCGACTTTAGCCATTACTCACATGTTTCTGTGCAGAAAAACTTACAACCAGGGCAAGGACCAATGGGGATTAGGTGGAGGGAACAATGGGGGCTGCTTGTGATTTGAATTTTCACCACAAATATGTGGGTTTGAATTAGTGTTATTGTAATAAGGGATGTTTAGGGGGTTTTCTACTTGTTAGAATACAAGGGAAGGTGAACCTAACACACCTACCTCATTTGCCCTGTGAAGCTTTGATGATAAACTAAGTGCAATTCACGTAACCCTATGAGTGTTCCAGAACTATCACAATCTCATATCAAATAAACATTAATTGAAGAGAAAGATTGTCCCAATGTTCCATGCAGGAGATTCGACCTTATCATCGGGATACATTCTTATGTGAGTATCTTATTTATCACGTAATCGGATTAACTACATACTGATTTAATATCGCATTTACGAGAGATTTTATCTTATACATTCCCATTTGAATGTCTCACTTATCACGGGACCAAGTTAATCTTCGTATACTGATAAGTGAGCTCACTAGTGAGACACTTAGCTAGGGATATATTCTAGTGATGCTCAAGATTTTCGCTACATTGAGATTTGGTGGATTTCAAAATTCTACCCTAACCCTAACTAGCGGGACTGGGAGGCTAAAAATGTTGAGACTATTAAAGATTGATGGGCTAAGGACAGAAACCCAAGGAAAAATGATTATCTTTGAATCACGTAACCAATGTTACCACTCACGCATGAAGTGCGGGTCAAGCTAATGCTGAGTGTGGAATAAGGCATTGTTCGACTACATGTTTATCTCTCCATTTCCCATGGGGAGGGAAAAGGTGAAACGGATCATCACTATATAAGCAATCAATCAACTTAAGTAAAGGTAAGAAAACATGACCTCTTATTGACGTAAGCTATTCTGCAAACACTAACTTGAGCGTTAGAGTGCTTTTTGCAAGTAAAACCGACCCTCCTCTTTTCCTTCTTTAAATTCACATTCGAGAAGCTCATACATGACCTATAAGAACCTTGTCGGTAACCTGTGAAAGCATTTCTTTTTGTAAGAAATCCTGCTCCAACATAGATGATCTTTCCTATACACTGTTTGGTGGGGAGGAAAATGTTTGGAGCCATGGTATTTGACCAAAGAAGGGAGGCAAAAGAAAGACACCAAATTCCTCCTTCATGTACAAGTAGTACCATTTAACAATCCTAAAACAAACACATAATAGTGCAGTCAATTAGCCTAGGCTAACATGATGATCTTCCATGGATGTTTCACAAAAAATAAAAAATCGGACAATTTATGTTTCCGAAAACTGTGCCGTGCATATTCTCTCAAAAGATCCTACTGTTTCTCCTCCCCGATGATATGACTGTCAAATTATTCTCCCTGATATTATCTTTAATTTATTAACTACCACATGCACAGATTAATAGGGGTAGAGTTTTATCATAAAAATGTCGGTAATATTAAGGATGGAAACTCTCGTATATTAATTGTATATTATTATCATATGACTGATATGAAATCGTATTCTCCAACAATGACATGGTTTCTTTACCTTTGTAAAATTTGGAATGATTTTTATGTGCACCAAATTGTGTTTTTTTGTTCAATCGTTCGTAAATTCGAATTTGAATCATCTTTTAATATTTGGAAGAGTAGTATCATTAGAATCAATCAGAACTAGTTTGAATACAAATTGCTTGCACAAACAGGTAGGAATATTCCTATTGAGTTTGACATTAATTCGTTTACGATGGTGTTATCTACATACCTATTTTTATCTCTAATAGACCTCTCTCAATTTTCGACCATCGAATCCAAATGAATTACAGAAGATAATGGATAAAAATTAATAAGATCTGTAAAAGGTAAAAAGATGTGTGTGAATAGCACTACCTGATTTACTGTATATGTTGTTGGACCTTTGCCTATGTGGGTTTGGTAAGCATTCACATGTCCCATCAAACTGCATCATCTCATTCTATGGTCTTTCCATCATTTGGTCCTTCTCAAACATAGAGATCACCTAACCTAATCAACTATTTTTTAAAACCAATCAAAGACCGAGATTGATGTTGTTTGATGGGTTTGTTCACCAATTTGGTAATACGTACTCATTCTTCTGTGGCTGGCTTTTAGCAAAACTCACATGGCAAATTCACCTTTGTTTCTTGTCCCTTTGGAGACATTGATGCCTACTTTATGAAATTTGAATATTTCTTATGGATGCATAATCTTCAAAAGAGTAATGTTCATTTGCAAACCTATGTTGTTAGATAAATAATCTTACAACGGACAACTATAAATTAAAATTCACGCATTACGACAAAAGAACATTGTTCAGCATGAAGATATTCAACTTTTTGTTTGGGCCAAGAAAATATTCAACAATTAATCATGCATATTTTACATTATTAGCTAATACCCAAATTGATTTTGGGGTGAAAATCTCAAAATCTCACTCCTCTCTGGTTATTTGCCTTTTGCCAAAACGCAAGATGATTAGGTCCTCCTCCATCTGTGAAAACCCACATTTGTAATTAGATGCTATGATATTGGGGCGCATCTTTACATAAACAACCAAATGATAGTAGGTAGCTACCTAGCTTGCTTACTGATTATATACAACAAGGTGAATTAGGAAACCGAGATCAGGGTCACAATTTTAAATTAAGCAGACTTTTGACCAACTGTTTAGAGATACTTGGGGTCATGCATGTGGGAATTCTATATACGTGTAAAATGTATTTTTATTTATTTATTTATTATGATTCTTTTTAACTCAAAGTCAAATGTACATGTGTGTGATTTATTTAAATACATGCCCTAAATTTTATATTATATTTAATATAGCAGTTAAAATAAATACAATCGAAGACTTGATCTTAGAACAATCTGATCTACCAATCACTCAGTTTTTTATTCCAAACTAAAAATTGAATCATAATTTATATATTAGGCCAATGATTTTTAATTTTTTTGAGGTCAACAGTCAAATTTATATGCGGACTTTTAGTTTCTTTTCCTCTCACCTCATAAAAATTAGGCAGTTTAATTACTTCATGTTGATTATAGATGACGCTTTATTACAATGATAAAAATAATTATATTTATATATTATAGTACAAGTTTAATTAGCACCGATGTCTCTTTTTAACAATTAACAAGTTAACCCTATCATTTGTTATAAAAATAAATAAATAAATAAATGAATAAATAAAACTTCGTGGCATTCATTCATTTGATGACACGCAAGATTCTCATTACAATTTATCTCAAAAAGGTAACAGGGGCACGTGTAAGTTTAACACATCCCGGCCCCTTATGCTAAAAATTATAGAAAATTTATGTCATGGTCAAGGATATATATGGTCATTTACCTAATATCGCTTAACTTCTCTGAAACCATGCAAACCACATATTATACATATGGCTCTACATGCGAAAGTTGGTTTAGTTCATAATGCTACATCTCACTTAGTAACATGAAATTTATATAAAATTTAATTGTTGTAAAGATTTATTAAATTTCTATATGCAAGATCTAATTGTTAATTTTTTGAACTATTCAATGATACATAATATGAAAGAAAGATTAGTAAAAGTTTGGTATATATTGTTCGCTAATTCTTTAACTTTGGTAAAGTTTTTTTGGACCATAATACAATTTGGTTGTACTTATATACTTGTCTCTTTGCAGTCTATCGACTCTATCCACATGTCTATATTTATGCGTCTCCATATATAAGCGAGAGGATTGTAGCAATCTAACACTAGTAATCACCCATGATTGCTTAGAATCAAAGCTTGATTTTTTTTTCTTTTGTTTTTTTTTTTTTTCTGGGAAAGGTTTCTAACATATTTTCCATAAAGAGCAACAGACTTCTAGAATCTGTATGGGACAAAAAGTACAACTCAACACATTCATACCCGCAATTTGATAAAATTATAGCAGAATATTAGGGTTTGAATTGTTATATGTATTCTTCTTTCAAGGAGGCACTAATTGTACGAATTACATAGTTGACTAGGATTATAAAGGAATCCCCAACAACAAAGAAAGTATAATAAAAATTACAATAAGAAATTCTTGACTCACACCTACACTCCATCTAGAGTGGTGTATAGATATGTTTTTAGCCAAACTTGTCAAGGTGAGTCATTAAAAACCTTTGTGGACACCGCATGTTAACACATTTGCAAACGACATCTCTAATCTTACATATGAAAAATCGACAATCTTGATTTCCAACTTCTCCTTGATAAAAATGTCAATCCACTTCAACATTTTTCTACGGTCAGGTTGAATTGAATTATTGGCAATCTCCCAAGCTGCTTTATTATCACAATAAAGTTCCTTTAGTTTATAATCAATTTTGGTGAGCAAAATCTGAATTCACAAAAGCTCAAAATACCATGAGCCATCCCCTGAACTTAGCCTCTGCAGGAGATCGACATTATGCTTCTTACTACACCAAGTAACTAGATTCCACCAACAAAAGTTAAAAAAAAAAAAAAAAAAAAAATCATTCAAACATCGAACACTAATCAATTATGTTACCAACCCAATCGGCATAAGTGTACCCTTTAATCTCCAAATGTCTATTCTTCAAGAAAATTAAACCTCTTCCAGGCGAAGACTTCAAGTAATCAAAATCCTCATCACAGCCACCATATGATCTTCACAACATATGCAATATCACAATAAGTAAGAGACAAATAAACCAACCGACCAACCAACCTTTGTTATCTCCCTTTATCCATTGGAATTTGTTCTGGATATATAGCTAGATGATGATTCTGAAAATATGGGAGTTTTTGCAGACTTACACGCTAACATACTAGTTTCGAAGAGCAAATCTAGCAAATACTTACGTTGGGACAAATAAAATTGTAGTAGAATTGAGACAGGCAAGAGGGTTTTTCGGGAATTGAGACAGGCAAAAACTTGTTCTAAGACTAAGATGAAATTGAAGTAGAATATTAGGGTCTGGATTGGTGTATGTATTCTTCTCTCAATGAGGCAATATATATACAAACTACATAGTTCACTAGGGTTCCAAAGAAATCCCAACTAATAAGGAAATTACAATAAATGATTACAATCAAGGAAATGCCTGACTCGCGCCAACACAATCCAACAAGAAAATAATCCATAACTCTTTTTTTATTTGGGCATTGCTGGCTGAAAATTTTAAATCGCATAGAAAATATAAGAAAACTGTTAGGGAGATTATCTTTTCAATTTTTTTTTTTTTTAAACCATATGATGTTGCAATAAAGTAAGACTTCATAATTAATTTTTTTTTTTTTTAAAAGAAGGTCAACCATCAACAACCACGTCATGTGATTTACAAAATGTAGTTTAAGAATATGGTTTATCTAGCATTACCCAAAATATATCAAAAAAAAAAAAAACAATATCTGTTCAAAGTTCAACGCCTAGAATTAGTTCTGAGCCACGTTTTTCTTTAGTTTTTGGACAAATATTTTCAATTTCTCAAATTTATTTTGACTTCTGCAACTCGTGTCGGCGAGAAGCCTTTTCTTATTCATCACCCAGATGTATTAATTCCCATGATTTATATATAGTCATCTAATTTCAAACTAAATAGAAACAAAGTTTCTATATTTGTTTGACATTGATATAACTTCAAGAACTGAATTATCAGCCATGGAAAAGCAAAGGTCTGTCTCCGTCGTTTTGTTTCTTCATGCAGCACTACTGATCTCAACTTGTTTTGGAAGCAAATCCTGGCCTGCAAAAAAACAAGTTGCCTTGTTCATCTTCGGAGACTCTTACTTAGATTCTGGCAACAACAACTACATCAACACTACAACTCTCGACCAAGCAAATTTCTGGCCATATGGAGAAACCTACTTCAAGTTCCCAACTGGAAGATTCTCCGACGGACGTTTGATGTCAGACTTTATTGGTAAGATTTACAAATCTTTTATAATGTCGTCCTTGGTGTACATGTCCACTTTTGTTAGCTAGCTAGCTAACCCAATACAAGATTTTTTTTGTCTGCTTATACTTTATCGTGATCTAATCTAATTTGTATCTTATCCAATATACTTTGCAGCTGAGTACGCTCACCTGCCATTTGTTCCACCCTTTCTTCAACCGGGATTTCGCCAATATTATGGTGGCGCGAATTTCGCATCTGCCGGAGCTGGAGCTCTGGTGGAGACTTTTCAAGGCGAGGTATGTATTCTTTACATTTGAGAGTGATATTATGATATGGCCAGCTATTAATACAATTTGGTAAGCATATTACTCTGCTGCATTAGGTGAGGAAATGAAACATATATCACTTGGTGACATTCATGATGTTTCCCAATTATTTGGTAAGGTGAAGCACTAAATGTTTAGCTTGTATACGTTGTTAAAAAAAAAAAACAAGAAAATTGAGAAAATTAGGTGTAATGGTTTTATATATTGCCTCGTTATTTGACATAAATAGCGTAAAAAATCAATAGTAAAACGACACGTAATATTTAAATGTTGGTGAGTTATTAACCCATATCATATAAACCCTCACGGTAGAAATTCTTGTGTGGGAACTTAGATTGGGGTAAGTGTGAGAGAGAGAGGCTGGGACCACAGTAAGATAAGTGTAGGCCTCAAAATTTGGGGGTGGTGGGGTAAGGGGGTATTTAGGTTTTTCTGAATATGGAAAACATTCATGAATGTTACATCTACTTGTCACTCACAAATTGCAGCTAAATAGTTATGGAACCTTCATATTCCGTCTTATTTCAGGTCATTAACCTTAAAACACAACTGAAGTATTACAAGAAGGTAGAGACCTGGTTCAGACACAAGTTAGGTGATGTTGAAGCCAAAGTGACACATTTCAAGAGGCATCTACTTGTTCAACATTGGAACCAACGATTACATAAGCCCTTTCCTAACCAACTCTCCCATGTTAAAGTCCTACTCTCACTCACGATACGTCGAAATGGTTATCGGCAACTTGACGAGCGTCATCCAAGTATGCATTAAACAATTTACACAGAGTCTGAAATGTTATGTTTTGAAATTGTCGGTCAAAAACACATATTTTATATTTGACCTGACTCTATCTAATCAAACGAGTCTGAAATTTTTTATATGGTTTGATTGGGTGTAAAATTGGCAGGAAATTTATTCAGGAGGGGGGAGGAAATTTGGGTTCATCAATTTGCTGGACTCGGGTTGTCTTCCGGGGGTCAGAATAATCAAGCCTGAAAATAATGGTAGCTGCTTAAAGGAGGTTTCGTCACTTGCCAAATTACATAACAAAGCTCTCTCCGAACTCCTCATTCAACTTGGAACCAGTTGGAGGGTTTCAAATATTCACTCTACGACTTAAACAGCAATCTTAGACAGAGAATCAGGCATCCCTCTAAATATGGTACGTACTTAACGCACACAAGCAAATTAGTTGTCTTAATTCCGTGCTTAGGTAAACATTATGCCGAACTGGCTTGCCCTTGTCCCTTACACGCGAACCAACAAGCTCAACACAACACGTTGGGAACTTCTTATATGGGGTTACTAAATGCACCCGATAACTTGATGAGCACACCCATTTCACTATTTATGTGCAATTTGTTCTGTTGCTAAAGAGGGCTGAAGCCACTGCGGTAGCCTATTGCGGAGGGTGGGCAGGGTGATAGGTAGCAGTATGTTATGGACGGGTTTAAAACCGCCAATGTATCTAAAAAACAATAGTGACAGTCCAAATCTAGACATAACGTCTAAGCACAAAAACATAATCATATTCCGTATCTTTTATGCAAATGTATTTGCTTACAAATGTGTAATACATTACAAGTTACAAGTAGATATTGAATTGTGTAATTGTGTGTGATGAAATTAAGGTTTTAAGGAAGGGAAAACAGCATGTTGCGGAACAGGTCAGTTTAGAGGAGTATTTAGCTGTGGAGGGAAAAGAACAGTGAAGAAGTTTGAGTTGTGTGAGGATCCAAATGAATATGTGTTCTGGGACTCTTTGCATCTCACTGAAAAGGTCTACAAGCAATTTGCTAATGAAATGTGGAGTGGCCGGCCATTGAACTCCAAGTCCACGACAAGTCATTACAGTCTCAAGGATCTCTTCCAAGACTTGTAAGTCTTTTGCATCAAATGTAACATGCAGCCCAAATTGGACACATTAACTATTAATTTGAGGTAACATGTGCCTTGGAAACTTCAAATTTTCAATCTTTGGTTATACATTAAAAAAAAATATTTTATGATTCCTCTACGCTATAATGTCAGTAAATGAATGATAAATTTACTTACGAAAAATGATATTGTAAGGTATGAGTCTTATTTTTAGAATTGATAAAGAAGTCAGTCCCACGTTGAGTATATGTGTTTCATTCTCAATGTTTAATGAGATATCGTAAAAAATATTTGTGAACACGAAAAATTCCAAATTTCGATGTCTACAATATGTTTATCCCATACGTGAACAATTTAGGTATCATTCTCCAATCAAACCATATAACTCATATTCCCGAAACTGTTAATAAACATGCCCAAAGATAAGGCCAGGTCACAAAATTTTCAATTTGATGAAGAATGAATCAAGCGGTAATAATTTGACACCACTCATGAATCTTTTGGTACTTCGGTTAAGCAACGCAGGCGAACAACAAATAAGTCTTTGCTTCTGGAAGAACTATAATCGGAATGGTAAAGGCCTTTACGGCCAAATTTTAGGTTATATCTGGTACACGGTTTTCGTTATGCAAGTCTTTGTGTATGTATTCTTTCTTCAAAATCTTTGGATGTCACATCTTCACCACAGATAACCAAATTTAAATGTTCAGACGTGACGCATATGTTTCTAAAAATCCATATGTCAAACTAATCATAAGAAAAAGTCATTTTAGATTTGTCAAAGAGTAGTTAGATGCTTCTGTCCGGCTATACGCACCCAATTTCATATATAAAAAATAATAGTTGGATCCTTCCACAAAAAAATGCACATATCCCTTACAAAAAACGTATCTTCATGTTATAAGTTTTTCTTGATCTTCATTTGAAGATTATCCAAACAAAAGATCTTTTAAATCAGAAACCATTTAGTCATCCAAATGTATAGAACAAATCGATGGTGTGAGTACCAAGTAAAATATTCGTGATGAATTGTTCATTTATACACTTTATTTAAAGCAAATTACTATATTATATTTATTTGAAGTTCCCGACAGGAACCAAATATTGGAAGTTGTTCTAAAATTAGTTGTCATGAAAATGAGCGCGTAACATATAAAATGAAAACAAATATGTTTATAATGTTCGAGATGAGAGAATGAAGGGAAATGTTGTTTGCTTACGTACCTTTCCTTCTGGATTGTTTTAATTTGGAATTTTGATCGATTGTTTGATTTTTTCTAGAGACCAAGTCATTGGTTTTTATGCATAAATTGATAGGTCACTGATCAGCTGACCAAAACACATAAGGTCACGGTGAATTGCCCCCTATAAATAGCTATATAATCATGAAAGTTGAACATTCGAATTATCTAGCAAACATTCGAATTATCTAGCAAACAAATTAATATGGCAAATACAAGCTTCCAAGTCTCTTGTGTCCTTGTCTTTTGTATGTGCCTCGGCCTTCTCATCACAGCACAAAGCCGCGGCCAATTTGGGTTTGAAAAACCTGTACCCGTTTTCTTCTTTGGAGATTCATTTTTTGATGCTGGAAATAATAACTACATCAACACTACTTTTCGGGCAAATTACTGGCCATATGGTGAAACCTTCTTCAAGAACCCAACCGGAAGATTTTCCGATGGTCGACTAATTTCAGATTTTATTGGTAAGATATATACTTTACAATTTTGAGAATATTTTCGTATGGAAACGTGAAATATTGTTAGTATATGTAATCAACAGTTAAGTATATAAATCTATTTTGCTGTTACAGCTGAGTATGCAGAGTTGCCATTTATCCCACCGTATCTACAACCTGGTAATGATCAATTTACATATGGTGCAAACTTTGCATCTGCAGGATCTGGTGCTTTGGTCGAAACAAGCCAAGGTTTGGTACGTATGTAACATCATTTTGCATATGAGTTCAATTGGGTTACTTCACTAATTTGGTTTTTATAATTATAAGCATATACTATACAAGAAAAGTCACGCACGTTTGTCAGAGATATACTATAATGTAAATTACAGGCATATGCTATATTGTGAATTAGGTCAACCATTACTCACCACAATTTTTTTACACATTTGGGTTCCATGCACCTTGACCAGAGGTACATAATATATATTTATATACCAACCAATGTAATATAAGAAATGTTGTACATCATTATAAAGGAGGCAGATTGTCTGCCCTCCCATTACCATGCCCTTCTCATTCATTTCTATATTGTAAGATCACAGTTAAGTCATATCAACATTTTATATTATTTTTTTATAGAGATAATAAGACATGTTGACGTGACTTAATCGTGACCAAACAAATAGGAAGGGATGGGAAGGGCATGGTAAAAGAGGGCAAACAATCTGCCTCCCATTATAAAACTGCTTATACTTGCTACCTACTCATGGCGGATAGGGATAAGTTCACCTCCTCATACAAACAAATCACTTTAAAGACTTGCCTATTATTAATCTGTTCAAATTAATCTTACGAGCAATAGTTGTTGACAAAGAAACACTTACGTCAACAACCCATTGAATGCATGTAATAGTCAACAACCAACAATAGCAAAGCCTTTTTCCATTAAGTGGAGTTAGCTTAATGAATCCTAGAACGCTATTGCAGTCGGTTTTGTACAACGTCTTCTGTTAGATCCAAGTACTCTAAGTCTTTTCTTGTAGTCTTTTCCAAAGTCTTCCAAGGTCTTCCTCTCCTCTTTCGGTCCTAAACCTCTGTCCCATAACCACTTCTTCTAACTAGAGCGTCAGTAGGCCTTTGTTTTACATGTCCAAACTATCGTAACCGATTTTCTCTCATCTTTCCTTCAATTTGGCTACTTCTACTTTACCTCGAATATCCTCATTCCTAAATAAATGTAACTAGTCAACAACCAATTTAGTATAAAGAAATGTTGCCAAGAACATATTTGATTTGGGCTCAAAGGCTCAAACATTGTAACTAACTTCTTTAAATTTACATATATGTCATCCTCCATTACTATAATCAAACATGTCCCTAAGATTTTGACAAAAACAAAAAAAAAAAACATGTCCTTTAAGGTGAAACTAATTGATGTCTGAACCTTCCTCAGGTGATAGATCTTCATTCTCAACTCTCATATTTCAAGAGCGTTAGGAAGTCGTTGAACCGGAAACTAGGGGATGAACAAACCAAGACCCTGCTATCAAGAGCTGTTTACTTGTTTAACGTCGGAGGCAACGATTACATTTTCCCTTTCGAGAAAAACTCCAGTGTGCTCGGACCCCACCCTCATGAGGAATTTGTTGGCCTTGTGATAGGAAATATCACTGCAGTGATCAAAGTAAATTCCTAGCTAGTACGTACTTGAAAAACAAGAGATTTTCCCACTGATATATATGCCAAGTTTTAAGTAATATTAATGTCGATGTGTCAGGAAATATATAGAGAAGGAGGAAGGAATTTTGGGTTTCTTGGTCTTGATCCTCTTGCTTGTTTACCATATTCAAGAGCAGTTGTTGAGGGACAAAATCGTGGTGGCTGCTTTGACAAAATCACACCATACGTAAAACTACACAACAAATTACTTCCCAAACTCCTACAGAAGCTAGAGAGAGAACTCAAGGGATTCAGATTCTCACTTTCCCAAATCTATGAGTTTCTGACAGAAAGAATAAATCACCCCTCTAAATATGGTATGTACATTTCCTTGATTTTCTTATGAGTAACTTTCTCTTGCACTACTAGAAATTTCAACTTTACTGATTTTTTTTGAGTAATTGCCACGCTAATATATCTTTGTTTCTAGATTATGAATCTCGACCATACATTCTAGAGATTCTTTGATTACTTAATCTATGAGAAAGAACTAAGTGATGTTGTTTTTGTTTTGGGATGCTATTGTTGGCAAAGGTTTTGAGGAAGGGAAAGTGGCTTGCTGTGGAAGTGGTCCGTATCGAGGAATTTATAGCTGTGGAGGCAAGAGAGGAACCAAAGAGTATGACCTGTGTAAGAATGTCAGTGAATATGTCTACTTTGACTCTGGTCATCCAACTGAAAGGATCTTTCAACAGATTGCCGACCAATTCTGGAACGGAACTCCCAACTCTACCGTGTCTTACAATTTGAAAACACTATTTGAAATTAAGTATTAAGTAAATTAAATCTTCTAACTGGATGTTATAATATAAGGAAAACTAATGAAAATACCTTGAAATTTTTGAGTTTTAACGACAAGGAGTCAATGGTACCATGATTGACGTTTTATTGTAGAAATATGGTTTTTCGTTAAAGTGAACAATACCGGTAATATTTCGTTAAAATTCTCTAGAATATAATCATTTTTTAATTTTTTTGTATTTTATTTTATAGTTCAATTTTTACTTTTAGACCTTATCGAGCCATGAATTTTTGCCCACAATGTAACGAGAAATGTTGGCTCACATATAATGTAATCGCATCTGTGTTTACTGTTTAGTATTGTAACTTTGTAACTTTTTTGTATGTGATGAGACATGCAATAATGTTATTTATGAGTTAAATATACTAAACCACTCAAAAACCACCAAGCCTTTGAGTCCAACTAGTGATACTTTATGTGAAATAATTGCCAATTTTCCAAGCAAACAAAGAACCGTTTCTTCATCAAGGACTACCTTGAGTAGTCCATTCAGACGGTTTCAAACATTGCCCCTTCTGATAGTTATAAACATTTTATAATTTTTGTTGGTGTTTGGTCACCTGCTACTTGGTTGTATCTGATGAATGTGCCAATGGAGGTTCTTGTTTGATTAACAGGTTGTCTAGTTTCTTGGGTTCAAGTCCTTCATAGAAGTACTTAAATATAAAACTACCAACTTATAACACTTGCAACATTAATTTTGTCCATGTTTAAGCTCAAAATCAAGATAAACATGATCCAAGTGTCATCAAGTGTATCTTCTTTCCTTATTCTTCCACATAAAAGGCTACCAGTATTATTGAACAAATCCTAATCGGGCGTGGCTCTGAGAGAGAGCTCTTTTGAATTTGTTCTTAGATTCTGTTGGTGTGTCTCCTCCATCAAATGATTAAACTCTTGCAACAGGCAACAAGTTTTCTTCCCTTAAATCATAGGAATCATCTCCAAGAGGAACATCAAATCTTCCTGCTTCTCCGTCTCAACCATCAGTTCGAAAGGTCAACTAGAAAAAGACGAATACCAGAAAATATTGTGATTGTTTGAGCTATCATGCCACACAATATCCAATTAAGAATTCATTGGATTATGGAAATTTATCTCATCCTTATTCAACTTTTTCTAAGAAAAGTCTGCAAAATCTCCGAACCTGAGGAAGCAAGGTTGCAAGATGTTTGGAGAGACGCAATGGAGGAGTTTCAAGCTCTTGATGAGAATAAGACATGGACTATTGCGAAGTTAGAAGGGGAAAAAAAAAATACGTGTCGGATCCATGTAAAAGAGTTTACAAGGTTAAACTTGTGATGGGTCAATTGAAAGGTACAAGGAAAAACTAATTGGCAAAGGTTTACTCGAACCTAACTAGTATAATTGTCTTGTGCAGTCAAAGTGAGTTGTTATTCTTTCTAATCAAGTGTTTGACTTAGTCGTGTGAGTGAATTCGTGATTATCAACATCGGGCGAGCTCAGTTGCCCTTGATTGAGTAATTCCCATGGTATATTCTTGTTCTCCTTGAGACCCTTGACTTGTCCTGCATTAGAAATTTTTATATATTTATGGAATTCTATTCTCCAACATGTCAATCATGATTATGGCTTCATGGGAATAAAGAAAGCATTTCGCAGCGCTACCAAAAAGTCTCTTGCTTACATTACTGATATTGATGGTTTTATTATGTTGGAAAACGAAGATCCCGGTCAGATTCTCGAGGAGGCTATGGAAGATCCATAGAGCTTTGCATTGCTTGAATCTGAGCCGGGGTGGGTGATGCAATAAAAATCCTGTTGAGTAGGGGCTTAGCCCGTGAAGGATGGCTCCTTTTGTTTTAGTTTTTTTTTGGTTTTTTAGCAGCTTTCGGGGATCTTTGATGGAAGGATAATGAATATAACGGGAGAAAACGAGATAGTTAACCAAGGGCAGCAAGCGCTGCTAATGTGGCTACTAAGCTACTTCTTTGAAAAGCTCCTACTAAGATGGGAAATTCACCAATAAACTGAGAAATCAATAATTTATTGACAGTCGATGGCGCGGCGATTTATTGACGGTCTATGACCTCGAAGAAGACGCTCGATACATAGTTGAAGAGTTCTCTTCCTCTTTGTCCACCCAATTCAGAATCGGTGTGTTTCTTCTTGTCAATCGGAGAACATAGTTATTTGCAAAACTCAATTCGTAATTTGATTGAATTATTCTAAAAGCTGCTGAATTGGGGTTTTTGACAGCCACATAGGCATATAACAGAGTAATTAACTGAAATTCTAATGGAAGTATGAAATTGAAATGAAATAATAGTAAACGTATAAAATTAAAAATGATTTTAAAATGTTGTATGAGATTGCATTTGACCACAAACTTAAAAAGTAGAATGTAATTTACCCTAATAAATAAAGCATAAGTCCCAAATGGACTTTTGCTCCCAGCCACAACTATTTAAATTTTTCTGACTACTTAATTATCTTGTGATGCTCTAATAACTTAACTGTTTCTCATAGTTCCTATTCGTTTGAGACTCTTAGTAGGTTCCAATACATGCACGAGAGCCTTGATTGTTCAATCATTCTCCCTTTTCTAAAAGAAAGAAAAAAACTCGTCCACAAGTTTCATTTGGATGCTTTTCCACATTTCGTCTACCGCCCAATCAATTGCTTCCCAAAACAACAATTTTAACATTATCCACAATAGCCACTTTTGAAAAGATGAGATGTCCCCCCGTCGATCCTTGGCTTGTTCACATTTGAAAAGACGACTTCCTTTCCCACATTTCGTCGGCTGCCTAATCAACCCTTGGCTTGTGCATCAATTTCAACATCTATTATTACAGAGACCTTTTATGAAAAAAAATCCTATATTTAGAGACAGGTGATTAAATTGATGACACGACGAGCCTACAAAAGTTTTTTTTTATGGTATTAGAGTAAGCTATTCTTGTGACACGTCATGAACTCAAGTTACTCGACTTGAACTTGCTTCCTAATACTGATCAATAACTGGACTTTCGAAGTCATTTGTTGCCTCTAGTGATGGACTACTAAATATCGACTAGGCTCTCGAAAAGATTGGCACAGCTGTAGAATAATGGCCAGCTTCCATTGTGGAATTGGTTTCCATTGTGACCCATGTGTGGCTATTCGTGAGGGCGCATCTAGGAGAATAAGACCTACATCGGTTATATGATAAAATGAAATACAATTAATATATGAGAATATCCACTCTTAATATTGATATTACTGAGCCTTTTTATGATAAAACCACACAGCTAATGGTTTGAGACAATATTGATAATGTTAGTGGTGGACCTGCATGAGCCTACAAAGTTTATCATGGCATTTGTGAAATGGACATGAAAAAATTCTTTGGTGCATAATATCAATTAATTTTATGGTGAAACTTCATTTACCTTTATTACTAACATTATCTTTGAGACTATTTATGATCTAATTATATGATCATAATTTGACACGTGTGTACAAGACATTAAAAAAATCTGAAAGCGTCTTATCCATTAGATAATAAAGCCAAAAATATACAATGCTAAAGATTCTGCTCTCAGTTTTCAAGGATTTTCTATTAAATTGATAATAATACAAAGTAAAACAGAAACACATATACTTCAATGGCAGCCTTGACTTTGAGGTTGAGAATTTTTATCCTGGCTTTGCCTAGTTATCAATGCAGCTGATATGGTCATTCGGTGCTTCAGAAAAGCATGCAACCTTATTCATCTTTGGTGATTCACTTTATGATCCTTGAAATAATAACTACGTAAATACCATCACTGTTTTTCAGGCCAATTGGTTCCCATATGGTGAGACCTTCTTTAAGTATCCAACTGGCAGATTTTGCGATGGACGTTTGATCACAGACTTTATTGGTAAGAATATTACTTTTTAATGTTAATTCTGCAATATCCTTTTTTCAGGCATTTCTTCAAGTATCCAACTCACATCAATTTGTGATACAAAAACATAAGATAAATTGATTATTAATTAGCTTTGCATTGATGTTGCAGCTGAGTATGCCATGGAACTTTTAAAGGCCACGAAAGGTCTATACAATCTCGGGGATCTCTTCCAAGAATTGTAAGTCTTTTGCATCAATGTAACATGCAGCCCAAATTGTGCACATTAACTATGAATTTGATGTAAACTTGTGCCTTTCAAACTTTCAGCCTTTGGTTATACATTAAAATAAATTCTCCTAATGTATTTTCATCATGTTGTATTTTCTTTTTTAAGAGAGGCAATATTTATGTCTCTCCCTCTTTTTTCTTGTATTTTCTTTTTCAAAGGGAGTTAGGTGTATGTTCCCCCCTCTTTTCTTGTATTTTGTTTTTTTCTTGCTCTATAAAGTTTTATGTTTTCATGACTAGGTGTAACTTATTTTTTCATATTAATAAATTTCTCTCGTACAATCGAATTTAAAAAAAAAAATTAAAAAAAATTTCTTTTACGATTCCTCAATCCATAATGTCAGTAAATGAATGACAAATTACTTTAAAAACTGATAATGTAAGATATGAGTCTCATTTTTGAAATTAATAAAGTCATTTCCATGTTGAAAATATGTTTCATTCTCAATGTCGAACAAGTTATCCTAAAACATATGTTTATCGCATGTCTAAACAATTTAGGTATCATTCCCAAATCATTCCATATGACTTTTATTTTTTTTCTGCCAAACGATAGATTTGTTAAATTAGATGTTAGATTACGGAGTCAATGGAGTTCACACCCACATCATGGTGCAAAGGCAACGGTATCATGCCCAAAGATTAGACCAGCTCGCAAAATCATTCCATATGACTCACATTCCAAAAATGTAGATAAACATAATCCCAAAGATTACCGGCTCGCAAAATTTTCTAAAAAGCCCGTTGTCGAGTTTCATTTGAATGCTTTTCTACATTTCCTTTTCCATATTTCGTCGGCTGCCCAATCAATTGCTATCCAAAGAGAAAGTAGTGGTGTTGGAAACACCCAAGCCGGTGTAAACACTGGAACTCTACACATGATCTCTTCAATAAACATGGTTGATGATCAGAGCAAGGAAGAGTAGGGAAGAGGTATACCTTCAAGAGTAGAGGAAATGGGCAGATTAGAGAGAAAATTGGGATGAGACAACAATAGATGCAGGGACAAAAGAAGGAAAAGTGAAAAGAGAAAACACTGCAACTGACCCTGGCTGAAACTAGGGCCGATGTCACCGAAAAATCCTAAGTTTGAAAGACTCACAAGCAATAAGAAGTACTCTTAGGTTAGAGAGTCATACTAGTAGTCGGCTTCTTTTGCTTTATAGCCGATTATCCCTTGTTTACGACTATGCTCTGGAAGCAAATTGGAGTTGGAGGTGGTATCTGCAGAGGAGATACTCAATGGGGAACAAGGAATTAGGCAATGAACTGAAAAGTTTTATGTGGGTGGAGATACAGTGGAAGCTTCTGGCGGAAGTTGTGTTGTGTTTCTGGGCCATATGTCTGTTTGGGCCTTTCTGCTTTACTTTTGTTTTAGGCCTTTTTTGTTTGTAGTATATGTGTCTGTTGGGCCTTTGTTGTATATTTGTGCTTGTTGTGTAATGAAATTCCCCTTTGACCAAAAATAAATAAATAAATAAATCAATTGCTATCCAAAACAACAATCTTAACAATATCCACATTAACCACTTAGATAGATGATATGTCCCTGTCAACCCTTGGCTTGTCCTGCGTCAGTTTCCACCACTAAAACTTTTTATAAATAAACCTCACACTTAGAGATAGGTTGTTAAGTTGGAAATAATATGTACCTACAAAGTTTATTATGGTAGAGCACGTTATTTTCTCGATTTGTCCTGAGCCTGAATTACTGGGCTCGAACTTGCTTCTTAAAATTGATTGATAACTACGATTTTGAAAAGTTGTGTGTTGGGTCTAGTGATGGATTACTAAATAGTAAATACATGTGGATGCAATCTTACGCCATTTTCTCTTTCAACAAAAATGCACCAATAAAATAATAACACTGAAGATTAAGGCGAAAAGCCTTACGCGCCCACGATAAATGGGGAGGGGCTTTGGCTGAAGAATCTCAGATGCCATAGTTAGAATTCTGAGAAGAATGTGTTTAGGAGTGTGTAGGTAGCAAATGACTTAGCTTTTGAGTGGGATAATAGGGCTATTTATAGAGAAGTGGCGAGTCCTATTTGGGGAATAGTGGCCGGCCATATATGGTGTAATTGGAGAATAATTGCAAGATATTATGTGAAATAATATCTTGCAATTAACATGGTAATTAATCCCAAATTAAATAGGAAGTTTTAGGAGTTACCTTTTGAATAAGGATTTGATGAGGAGTGATGAGAAGGATTTGAATAAATACCATTTTGATCACCTTTGACTCTTCCTTGATTGAACCATTATTGTCCGTTGCATGCTTGTGGGAATCCTGGTGTGTCTCGAGGGTAATTTTGTCCCTTTAACCCAAAAGTCCATGTGTCACCTCCACAATTTTCTTGATTACTTCTGGCTCCACAAATATCCCCACATTTGCTGGGCTGCTCGTAGGAAAAGGTAGCAAGTGTAGAAATCTCTAACTTTGATGCAGATTCCCACCTGAACTTGGAATTAGATTCTTCTAGGAAAGGGAAATAAATCGCCACCAAAGCCTATTAAAGCTTACCTTAAGTAGGGGATTAAATCAACTTCGGAGGGCAATTACTTATCCCTACAAGAAGGAGAGAAAGCTAGAGGATATTTGTTTCCTCTCTCTTAACACTCTTCTTCGCTCACCTGTGCAATGAATCGTCTTCTGTTGATTTCTTTGTCTTCTTCGCGCTGCACCAATGTAAGAAAAACTTAATTTTCTTTGTCTTCTTCTTGGGTGATGCTACCATAGGGCAATCGTTCAGGTGGTGTGGCACGTCGGCTGACAGGTGCCAGAAGTTGGCTCGGCATGAGCCGAGGAGATGGTGTGGCAAGGGCCATAACTTGTGCTACTCGGCTTGAATAGAGATAAGGCCTGGCTTAACATGGGCCAAGGAAGTGGTGTGGCATGGCCCATGGTTTAGGCTGCCACATTTAGGCTACTTCCCAAGAATGAGGAAACTGCTTGAGTTTGATTTCTCAGCTGCCATAGATGAAGCAATCAAGGATGAAATTGCGTAGATCAGAGCTGCTGAATATGAAGTGTTAGATAAGCAAACTTGTTGAGTGTGAAGTGGCTGCTGCCCCCTAACCATTTGTTGCTTAGCTGGTCTTCAAGTATTCGATCTTTTGAGTTGCGTGACCTACATCACAACATGATAAAGATTCATGGAATATGAAAATTGTTAACTAATCACATCAAAATGAGTAATTGTGTGGAAATTCATTAGCAGTTTGCCCTCTTCCGTTGAAGAGTTGACTCAGATGGGCGTTGGAGAATTAGTTTATCCTCTTGCACTAGAGATCTTACCCAGATGGGTTCGAGAAATTAGTTCACCCTCTTGCACTGAAGACCAATTAGTTTATCTTCTTGCATTAGAGAGCAGACCTAAATGGTGTCGAGAAATTAATTTACTCTCTTACACTGGAGAGTAGAGGCAGATGGGTGTTGAAGAATTAGTTTTTCCTCTCGCACTGGAGAGCAATTAGTTTATCCTCACGTATTAGAGAGCAGACCCAGATGGGTGTCGAGGAATTAGTTTACCTTCTCACACTGGAGAGCAATTAGTTTATTCTCTCGCACTAGAGAGTAAGCCCAGATGGGTGTTAGGGAATTAGTTTACCCTTTCGTATTAAAGAGCATACCCAGATGGGTGTCGGTGAATTAGTTTACCCTCTCGCACTGAAGAGTAATTAGCTTACCCTCTCACAATGGAGAGCTTACCCAGATAAGTGTTGGGGGATTAGTTTACCCTCTCGCACTAGAGAACAATTATTTTATCCTCTTGCATTAGAGAGCAGACCGAGATGGGTGTCGGGGAATTGGTTTATCCTCTTGCACTATAAAACAATTAGTTTACCCTCTCGCAATAAAGAACATACCTAGATGGGTGTCGGGGAATTAGTTTACCTTCTCGCACTGGAGAGCAATTAGTTTACCCTTTCGTAATGGAGAGCTTACCCAAATGGGTGTCAGGGGATTGGTTTACCATCTCACACTGAAAAGTATACCTATATGGGTGTCAGGGAATTGGTTTACCCTTTCGCACTAGAGAGCAATTAGTTTACCCTCTCGCACTGAAGAGCTTGGAAATCATTGTGAGTGCAACTGAGAAAAGCTAGACTGCTAGATATCTAAAATAATCCTCTGCTTGTGAGGTCTTGCTGGACGATCTACTTGAGACTTTGAACTGCTTGTGGAACCCGTGTAAAGGTGTATGTGGGAGCACGGTGAACTGCTCTCGGACCTTATTGCGCCATCCTTGGATGTTTCGTTGTGTGCTCTCTTGAGGCTTGGTTGGTGATCAACTGAGAATCTGAATGGATTGCAAGCTTCATCACTACTAACTCTTTTACTAGCAGAAACTGCTAGTCAAGCCTCATATGTGCTCCGTCATTGGATGCTTTGATGTTTGAAGTGTCGTGGGCTTAATCGGCACAGTTAGGAGACGTATGGAAAGATCGGCATAGCTGGGAGTCATGGTGACAGATCGAGGGCGGCCGGGAACCAATAAGTAGGTATGGACAGCGGTGAGCTCTTGGATCATTGGATCCACAGAGCTCGGCTACTATTGATGTGTTGCTTTAGTAATGAATCGTCTAGAGTGATGAAAACAAGACATGCCCCTTGGTTTTTGGTGGTTGGGATGGTGTGTCATTTTGGTACCTGTGTGCCCCCGATGCATCATGAGGTTGAGTTGCTGCATTTGTCTAAACAGAAGTAGTCAAGAGCCTTCAACTTCTTCCTCAATTTTCCTTTAGTGGGGTAGTGAAGCTTCCGATTGCCCCCGGTCGTGACCTATTAGTCTAGGCTGCTCTTTCATGTGCTTCACTCGTCTATGTCGCAGCTGCGGTGCATGTGGTATGTTCCTAGCATGCGAACGAGTTACTCGCAGGTTGTCAGTTGAACCTGAGTTGGATTAAGTGAATGTTTCTCTCCGTCCATTGTGCTACCTACTCCGATGTGAGGTAGAAGATGCTCTTTGTGGGCCTAGCCGCGAATGAACACTTCATCTAGAAGGTTGCTTATGTTGATTATCAAAATATGAACACCAAGGTCGTCTGTTGTGTGATGGTGCTTGTTAACTCTATAACTTGTCGAGATAAGTGTTGTTCGCCATTTGGGATGGAAGAGCTTAGATGGTATGCATCTCCTTGAGTAGTGAAAGGGCAATGGACTCTGGGTGAAAGATTTGAGTCGAAATATATCAAATCTGTAGAAAATCGAGGTGAGAGTACCCCTGGT